ACTCATTCATTGTGCACTTTCCTCCTTGCTCACCCCTCCCTTTCCCAGTTCGCTCTTCTCTTTGAAAAGTAAAAGAAAAATTCTCTCATTTTAATACAATCCCTCCCCCAAATCTACTCCACTATGCAGCCTTCATTCTGGACTCCTGTCATGACAATAATACTTCATCATATATCTCTTTTAAACAGTTCTCGCCTTCATCTGTTTCAATGCAGTATACATAATTTATCCCCTCTTTTCTTAAGTTCTCCCCAACCCCGATGTCAGTCCTATTTTACAACAGTGGCACTATGCAGTATTTGTCCTTTTGTGACTGAGATAGTTCACTCTGCACTATGCAGTATTTGTCCTTTTGTGACTGAGATAGTTCACTCTGCATAATGTTCTCCAGGGTCACTCATTTTGTATAACATTTCGTGAGTTCCTTGTTTTTCTTTCTTTTTTCCCCACTAGTTTATTTACAAAATTCTAATACAAATTCAAACAAATTCTTTCAATTTCCCTCACTTCCCCACCCATCAAATTGCACAACCCAGTGATTAATCAATCATTCCTCCCTTGCTGCTCCCTCTGCTTCCAGGATCCCACCCCTCCTGGATCCTTATACTCATTCTACAATCATGGTTTTATACAATATTATCCTTATGACTGAGTTAGTTCACTCAGCATAATGCTCTCCAGTGCCTCCAAACTTAGGGTAATAATTTACAGAATTATTACTCCAGCGTGCTGCATAGTATTTCATTGGGTGAAAGTACCATAATTTCTCAATCCATTTGTTTGCGGTTGGATATTTGAGCTGTTTCCATGTTCTTGTGAAGGTGAATAATGCTGTTATAAATATTGGTATACAAATCTCAGTTTGTGCCTCTGTTCTCATACTCTCAGGGCATATTCCAAGTAATGGAATAGCTGGGTCATATGGAATTTCTATGTTCAGCTTTTGGAGGAAGCACCAACCTGCCTTCCAGAATGATTGTACCATTTTACAGTCCCACCAGCAATGTATAAGAGTTCCTTTCTTGCCACAAATTCTCCAACATATATTACTTGCTGCCTTGTTAAACTTTGCCATTCTTACTGGAGTGAGATAGGATAATATCTATACAGAAACAAGGAAGACCCATTACACGACCATCATTCAAATACATCCTCCTACGTTTAGAAACAAAAGAGAAGAAAGTGAGAAGTTTTACTTAATCTTGCAGTCCGAAATTGACTGAACATGCAGTCAAGATGAGTTATTGATAGTTGGTGACTGGAAAGTAAAAGCAGGAAACAGTGAAGAAGGCATAGTACTTGGAAAATATGGGCTTGGTGCTAGAAATGAGGCTGGAAGTAGAATGATTGCGTTTTGTCTTTATAATAGTTTATTCGTTGCAAATACCTTTCTTTTTAACTTTTTTTTTTGTTTACTTAGGAAGTGTGTATACATTGTGTTTCACACTATTCTTCAGTCACATTGTGTTTTGTGCAATCGTTCTCATGCTTTATGCTTTATAAAATTAATCACCATTGGACCTTGCCCATAATTAGTCTTTTTGCTCTCATTCTTCCCATTTATTCTCCCTTCTCTCCTCCACCCACCAAATTGTGCAACCCTGTGGTTTTGTCCCTGTCTAACCTCACCCCTCTGCTCCATTCCTCCTCCTCTTGAGTTGCCATATATGTTTTAATAGTTATCTTTCTATTTTACAATAATGTCAATAAGAAAAGCACAAATCAAAACCACGATGAGATACCAACCTATTCCAGCCATGACAACGTTTGGTAGGGCAGCAAGCAATACATGCTGGAGAGGATGTGAATGGGTGGGAAGTCTCATATAATGTTGGTGGAAAGCAGCTTGATGTTTCCTCAAAAAGTTGAACATAGAAACTCCATATGACCCTGCTAATTCCACTACTAGGAATATAACCCAAGGAAATTAGAACTGAAACACAAATGGAGATTTGTACACCAGTATTCATAGCAGCGTTATTCACCATGGTGAAGGCATTGAAACAGTCCAAATACCCAACCACAGCTGAATGAATTGGTAAATTGTGGTGAATTCATTCACACAATGGAATACCAAGCAGCACTCAGGAGCAATGGTTTAAAAAAAATACTTCATAACTTGGGAAAGGCTGGAGAATATTACGCTGAGTGAACTAACACAGTCTTCTTTTTTCTTCTTCTTCTTTTTGCATAAGACCATTGTTAAAATAGAAGGATAGCTATTAAATCTTATATGGGAACTCAAATAGATACCGTTTTAAAAGACACAAATGATGATTTTATACATGGATTTCTCCTGATAGGCTTCATAGAAATCAGATTAACTACATTTGTGGAATGTAAAAATCATTGGAGAAGTTCAAGATAGGTAGTCAAAACTAGGCCAGGAGTGGACTGTGGGTCAGATCATCACTCATATGCAAGTTCAAATTGAGGCCAATGAAAATGAAAATAAGTCCACAGGAAACCAGATCCATGTTCTTAAGATGTTGAATAATGCTTCTAGGAACATTGGTGTACACATCTCCATTTGTGTCTCCTTTCCTTGGGGTATGTTCCTAGCAGTGGAATAGCTGGGTCATATGGACTATTGCATATACATGGACTTCCAAAAGACAAACAAATTTGTCTTAGAAGAAGTGTAGTCAGGATCATGTTGGGTCTTTGCCTTCAATAGTTTGGACATGTGACCTCAGGAAAGCCAAGTCACTATAATTTCAACAACGGGCCTGAGCACAGAAAGCATTATGAGAAGAGAATACGCCATCCCCTTTTCCTTATGACTCAGGGTGAAGTCTCTCTCAGGGAGGAGTGATAGGGAATGGCAAAGGATACACTGACAAAGAAGATTAATCAGAACTGGCTTTGACAAGCACTGTGGCATTTGGACAAGAACAAACTGGGAGGAGGGTAGAGAGAATAGTGCAACAATGAATGAGTGGAAGCCCAAAATCTCTGTGTTTATGAAAATTAATAAAATATAATTATAGAAAGAAAAAAAAAGAAAGCATTATGAGAATTGCAAATAACGTGGAAGGGTTTCAATTTGTTCTGCATAGGGTCTATATGACGTAGGATTGAGTTGACAGTACCTAAAAATAACAATGATTATTATTAAATGATGAGCATCATGATAGATGGAGATTGAGATTGTTAACAATTTCAACTTGCTTGGTTCCACAATCAATACTCTTTTTGGAAGTAAAAAGACAAATTGCATTAGGAAAATAAGCTGTCAGAGACTGCTCTAAAGTACTGAAGAGCAAGGATGTCTAAAGACTAAGGTGCAGCTGTTCCAGATCACGGTCTTTGCAAGTACTAGCTATACATCAGAGAACTGGACAGTGACCAAGGATAACAGAAAAAGAATGCCTTTGTGTTGTGGTTCTGGAGAAGAGTATTGAACATACTATTGACTGCAAGAGAATTAACAAGTCTGCCCTAGACAAGGTGAAACCAAACTATCCCTCAAAGGCAAAGATTTTGAGGCTGAGTCTCACATACCTTGGGCATATATATAGCAAGAGGGACCAGTCTTTGTAGTAGTTTTGAGATTATTAAATGATATCCTTCTTCAATTTTGTTTTTCAAAAATGTTTTGCTTGTTTGAGGTCTCTTTCCTTTCCAAATAAGCTTGACAATGATCTTTTTGATCACCTTGAAAAAGGAAATTGCTATTGCATTAAACATGTAGACTGCATTTGGTAGGTTTGTCATTTTCACATTTATTGAGTCTTCCTATCCATAAGCAGGGAGCATTTTTCCATTTTTTAGGTCATTTATTATTTCTCTCAGAAGTGTTTTGCAAGACTTGTAAAGGTCTTTTGTGTCTCTAGTTAGGTTTATTCAGAAATATCTCAGTTTGTGGATATTTTATATTTAATCTAAACAAAAGGTCAAGAAGCAATGGTTGGATATTTTAAATGGCATTGTTTTCTTGCTTTCCTTCTCTGTTTTCTTTGCTCTTGTTGAGAAAACCCACTGATTTTTGTCTCACTTGACTAAATTGGTCCAATAACTCTAACAGGGTTTTTTTTTTTTTTTTTTTTTTTTTTTCCCCCTTTTTTTTCAGTCCTTGAAGTTTTCTGAGAACGCTATGATAACATCTACATATAGTGATAATTTAATCACCTCTTTGCCAATCTAGATACCATTATTTCCTTCTCTTGTTCTACTGCTGTAGCAAACACTTCCAACCCAATATTGACTAGGCATAGTGAAAGTGAGCATCCTTGTCTGGTCCCTGTTCACATGGAAATGTTTAGAATCTTTCTCTATTGAGAAGGACATTGGCTTTTGATTTTTATATAAACCTTTCCCTATTTTGGGGAAATTCACTTCTATTCCTATTTTGCTGAGTGTTTTAATCAGGAAAGGCTGTTTGGTTTCGTCAAATACTTTTCTGCATTAATTGCTAGTATCATGATGTTCTGGTTATTTGCTTTGTTAATGTGGTGAATTATGCTGATTGTTTTTCTTTTGTCAAACCATCCTTGCACACTTCTTATGAATACCACTTGACATGATTAATTTCTTTTCATGTTTTGATTGTTTTTTGTTGGATTTGGTTTGCCCTAATTTTGTTAAGGATTTTTGTAGCCATATACATGACAGATATTGGTCTGTTGTTTTCTTCTTTTGGTAATATCTTTGTCTGATTATATGATATTAGGGTTATGCTTGCTTCATGGAATGACTTTGGAAGTATTCCATCTTTTTCTATTTTTTTTAAATATTTCAAGTAGAATTGGTAATAGATCATCTCCAAATGTTTGGTAGAATTCAGCTGTGAAGCCATCTCATCCAAGACTTTTTTTTTTGGGGGGGGGGAATCTTTTTATGACCTGCTCAATTTCTTCTTTTGTCATGGGCTTGTTCAAGTGTTCTAGGTCTGTCCACGTCAATCTGAGTAGGGCATGAGTTTTAAGGAATTTATTCATTTCCTGTAGGTGTTCAAATGTATCAGTATATAGAATTTTCATAATATTTTAATATTATAGATTTAATGTCCTCTGCTTCTATTGTGATGTCACTTCTTTCATTCTTTAATTATTTAAGTCTTCTTTTTTTTTCTTTTGTTAAATTTGCCAATGGTTTGTCAATTTTATGAACCAGGTTTTGTTGATGGTTTAAATTGTTTTTCTGTTTCTCATTGATTTCAGCTCTTGTTTTTATAATTTTCTTTCTTCTAGAGGCTGTGAGGATAGATTGTTTTTCTATTTGATGGAAGTGTTGAGTTAGATCATTGATTTTTCTTCTTTCTTTGTTATTTAATGTGTTTCCCTATTGCTATTAACTGCCCCCTAAGCATGGCCTTAGCATCCCAGCGGTTTTGATATGATGCATTTTCATTATCATTTTTTTCAAGGAACTTATTCTGTAATCCATTCATGTTCTGGTATGGTGCTTTTAGCTTCCACGTGGTTGGGTTTTGGGTTGTTGTTTTTGTGTTTGGTTTATTGTTGTGGGTTTTTTTTTTAATATACATACATTTTATTTCACACTCTTCTTCATTCACATTGTGTTTCATACGGTCATTATAAAATTAATTTCCATTTCCTTTACCCCCTCCCTCCACCCATATTGTGCAATCCTGTGACTTTGCCTCTATTCCTCTCACCTCTCTGCTCCCACTCCTTTCCCCATTGGGTCTCCATACATGTTTTACTAATCATCTTTCTGTTTTTATAGTCATGGTCTTATGAAGTGTGTGTCCTTAAGAGACTGAGTTAGTTCACTTAGCATAACACTCTCCAGTCTCCCTCAAATTATGTACTATTTTTCAAAATCATGGCTCCTAAGTGCTGCATAGTATTCCACTGTGTGAATGTACAATTTCTCAATTCATTCAGTTGTGGTTGGATATTTGGACTGTGTCTAGGTTCTCACAGTGGTGAATAATGCTGTTATGAATGGACAATTGGGTGGTTTTCTACATTTTTTCCTCTTGTCATGAATTTCTAGTTTTTAGCATTGTGGTCTGAATAAATCATTGAACATAGAAAATTAAATCGTTCTATTTCCAGTCTCAAGTCTATCACAAGTCTGTACTTTCCATCTACTCTTCTTTCTTCACTGTTTGCACCTTTTGCATTCCAATCACTGATTATAATCAACATATATTTATTACAAGTTAGTCCATTTCAGACTGCAAAATTTGACAACAATCTTCCATTGTCTCCTCTTTGGCTTTAGCTAAAATATCCTGTCACTCACAATTTTGTATTGTACTTCAGGAAATAACATGAAATTGCCTTTTTAACTATGAATACAAAACCGTTCATTTAAAAAAATAATTTCTACTAGTTTATTTACAAAATTTGAATATATTGTTTTTAAGGACAAATTATTTTAATTGCCCTCCCCCTACCCCCATCAAATTGTACAACCCCATGATTAACTTGCCCCTGAACATCCTCATTCCTGTTTCTGCCCTCCTCCATGCCTCTTCAATCCTCATACTCATTCTACAATAATGGTTTTATGCAATATTTATCCTTGTGGGACTGAGTTAGTTCACTCGGCAGAATGCTCTCCAATCTCTCCCAAGTTAGGTAATAATTTAGAAAATCATTGCTCCTCCTTGCAGCATTATTCTAGTCCATTTTTCATTTCCAGCATAGTGAACTGTCTCAATCAAGTGGCCAAAGTCACTCTCTCTTCTCTCACTAAAGCCTAGAATGTTAATGTCCATGCTTTTCATTTTTCACAACTGCTAATTTTCCAACATTCATATTTAATACATTCTGTGTTTCAGCTATTAAAGGAAGTTTTTAAAGGTTTCTTCTCACTTTGGTTGACTTCCAATTTGGGGTCCCTCTCTAATATAAATAATAATAGTAATTAGTAATAATAATTATTATTATTAAAGTATTATATATTTGCAGACTCTGGCATGACTATTGACAGCAATGCCCCTAAGACTAATGTCCTGAGCATCAAATATTTATCTTTTAAATCATATTTTTATAAATTAGGAAAATTTAGAACCCTAATTATGTCTTATATTTTGGCAACTTGTTGTATCCCCTGAAGTCAGAACCAACTCAGAGCTGACTCTTCAGTGAGTCTTCAGAAGCTATAAATTCAAATGGAGATTATCTATCTTTCCTCTTCAGAGTGATAGACTTACTTGCCTTTGCACTAACAGTGCAGTTCCTTTCCAGGAGGCCAACAGAATTCCTCTTCTTAAAATTTTATGTTAATGGCAACGACGGCCCATCTTTCTCTCATAAAACTTCTAGTAGATTTGAACTTCCAGAAACACGCAGCCTTTGGATTAATAGTGTAATTTACGGTAGATTATGCGCTCTCTCTCCCTCTCTCCATGTGCATATGCGTATACTGTCATGTGTATTGAGTTGGAACTTATCCTCATCGGTTCATAGTTAACCCTCCAGTGGGTTTTCAGAGGCTGTAAATCCCACTAGAGGATACAGTCCATCATTTTCTTGTATAGCAACTGATGAACTTGAACCATCTGTTTTGGGGTTGGCACCCTGTTATTGACTGTATAGGAAAACCCACTGAAAGGTCAGCTATGGGGTCAGTTCCAACTTGACAGCGCCATAACAGGCCACCATAGCTCCTATATGTCTTGGTTGATTTTTGTTATTTTTCCCCAGAAAGAAAATTATTTGCAGTTGAAACCAGTTTATTCAAATCATTAGCAACAAAAAGCTAAAAAGGAAAAGATACTAAATTTACCTTTCTCAGCATAGAGCACCTGGTGGGTTTGAATCAAAGACCTATTTGGCCAGCAGTGGTACAATGAACCACCCATGACCATGAAATCACATCCTTCCCCAGGGACACCCCCACTTCCTTACCTATCAACATGCTACCCACACAGACACACATGCACTTCACCTTGCACCTCTTGAGCCAAAGCTTATGTGCCACAGGTCACACCACACCTTAGAGACTGCACCACACTTCAGTGCCCCACACTGTATCTCTCTCTCTCTCTCTCTCTC